GGGAAACATACTTAAAAGTTCATTCTTGTCTTTGTCCATTGTTTCAAACAGTCCTTTGAAGCTAACAGTTCCCATTGTTTGCCTGGGTCCTGTCTTCCCCTTGAAAGAAGTTACATACACTCCCCTAACAGTACACGAACGGTTTGTTTTTTACACAGTGAGCTCCTAAGATACTTAAACTTCATTCAGTGAAGTCTGTCCAGGATTTTGTCAGACCTGTCACAGGCCACCTTACACATTAGGGAAGGCGACGTTTCCTATAGGAAATAGCATTGAATCTCCGTGTGGTGAGATACCAGTCAATGGAATTACACGAAGGATGAATCTGGCCCAGTGTGGGCATTAGAAGGTTTAACCTTTTGTGTTGACATTTCCCCAGAGATATTTGTACTGGGGCTCATTCCTATCACAGTCATTGTCTCTGGGTGGGAATGACCCTGTGCTCCCAAGCAGCCCTGGCAGTGACATGTTGGCTACAGGGCCGGTGTCATGGTAAGAAACGGGTTACCCCCATGTGACAATCAGGGTCCAGACACCTCAAGGGGAGAACAAGGCCCTCAAAGAACAAGCAATTGAATCAACTGGTGGTATACCTTATTGTGTATAGAAATGCATCAAGTACGGTCTTTTATGAAAGCTTGTAATTACTCCTGAGGGCATTCTGCACCAAAAAATTAATAATTCTGCGCACAATATTTTAAAATTCTGCAAAATTTTATTTGTCAAATAAATGTGGAGGCTCCAGCATGGCAGTGGAGAGCACAGGGCACTGGCTGCACAGAGGTGATCACTGCGCAGCTCCCCGTCCCGGGACATGGACTCAGCACCCAACCCTGACACAGCGCAAGGACCGGACCTGCCCCAGAAACACCCCAGGGCCCTGCCCTCCGTGCCAGGTGCACCAGGTGTGGGCAGGCAGGCTCAGCAAGGCAGGATCCAAGTGTGGAGGGACTCAGCGTGGGGGGATCCAGGTGTGGGTTGAGAGGGCTCTGTGTGGGGCAATCTGGGTGCAGGCGACTCCGTGGGGGATCTGGGAGTGGGGGGGGATCTGGATGCACAGGGGCTTGTTGGGGGGTTCTAGGTGCAACAGTAATGGGACTCTGCAGGGGGGTCCAGATGAAGGTATTTGGGGCTCAGCAAGGGGGGGTCTGGGCGTGGGGGGATCGAGCTCGTAAGGTGGGTCTGGGGGAATGGGGCTCAGTGGGATGGGGATCCAGGTGCA